GGCTTAATTTATATTAAAAGTAGAAAAGTCTTTTCCAAAGGAAATACAGTCTGCGAGGATGCACATGCATTTCCTGATCAGTGCTATTTCATACCTAACAACTGCATGACTTGCTTTTGCAGTCAGAAGCTGTTCTTGGAAAAACTGAGGTTATAACTTTTGATTCAGTCTAACTATAAACTATAAGGCCCTTAGTTTGGTTTAGGTTTCTTTTGCAAGATAAAATAACCTTGGGGTTCACTTAGCAAGTTACACCTCAGGTCCCTGACTATAATGTGGAAGTTATATGTATGTATTGTAAAAAATAAAAGGTTATTATGAATCTTAAGAGGGAAGAAATAATTCTAGGCAAGGAATCAAACTTACTATATATTATATTTAATGCTGGTAATTTTACCAATCAAAACTCACCAAAGAAGTTTTAAGTGTGTGTGTCTGGGTTATTTTATTCCTGAAACATATATATATACACACATATATATATATTAGCACTTATGATAGTTGTTTTGGTGAAAAATCTTGGGGGAAAAATAGCTGATACTTTGAAAAGAAAATGGCCAAAGTAAAACTGGTTGAGGACAAGGTTTTTTTAGGAATAATGTCCATATATGACTGCTTTCTGAAGTAAAGAAAAATGAATCCAGAATGTTACAGGTCTTGCATAGGTAAACTACTTGGAGGTCAAGGGCTACGTGGTAGCCAGGGTTTTATTAATGAAATAGTGCAGAGCAGATAAACTTACTGGAAGAATCAATGAATACAGTTTCAAAGAGGTTTTAACCAAGAAAAAGAAAGTAATGTTGTACTTTAGTTAAGACAAAGCCTTTAAGACACTAGAAGGGGTGGGAGAAGAACCTATGGGCATCTCAGGTGAGTGTTCTTTTCTCCTACCCAGTGAAGAGGGAGAGAACTACTATGGAAACAAAACCATAGTCAATCACAACAAGCTAACTGCTTTGGAAATAAGCATTTGCTTCTTAATGACCTTAATTTTAAAAAAGTATTTATGGAAAGGATATCAAACATTTATTTGACTTGCAGCATGATATTCACTGAAAAACAAACTAAAATAAAGGAAGGGTTTAGTAAGGCTACGGTATTAAGGTAACATTACGTTCAATGGCAATTCAGTGAGCATATTATTTCTCCCCTTTCTTCCCACTTAGCTTCAAGGAAGCATATGGATGTCATCCACAAGACAAGCAGAGGCTGTAGTGTCACAGACTATGGTGTGCTTTAGGAAGCAAGGTATCAGGTCCCAGATCCACTGTATGTCCCCAGGCAAATCCCTGGCTGCCCTGTGTGAGTTACACTGGTCTCCTCTATTGACCAGCTTTCCTAAGCTAAAGATGCAGTGCTCAACTTCCAGATTGCTCTAGATGAAGATCTAGGACATCAGAAAAGGACTGATAAGCCTTAGGTCCCCCATCCTCCTGCACCCTCTGTGCTAGGGATCAGACCCAGGGCCTTGCAATAAAGAGCAATTAGTTTAATAAGATGAATTCTTGAAAAATATTTACTCCTACATTACAAAGGCCCGTCCATCTCTTCATGTGAAAACTACAAATGCTCATTTGCTATGACGACGACAACACAGCGGGCCATGCTATTATTCCCATCAACTCTTGGGGAGGAGTCATTTTACCACTGTAGCGAGCATTTTCTGAACCAAGCAGATGAACTCCTTTCTGTTGAAATCATCCAGCTGAGTCTGCCTTCCTACACCCCTCTAATGATCAATCTCTCTCACTCTCTTTACCCAGGCTATTGTCACCCAACCCAGAGCTGCCTTGGTGGAGTCCCATCTTCCTAACTACTTTATTTTTCTTCTAGTTCCATGGGTAGATGTTAAACCATTTTAATTCCATAATTTATTTCACCTTTATCTAGTACCTGACAAGTCTGTCAAATCTGGGGAGCAGTAGTACCCCAATTTCTCTTTAAGAAAAATCTAAAGCTAGCTTTCAACCACATTAAATCATCTTCATGTACCTGAGGATAAACATTCTCACTCTCCTATCCATAAACTAGCTTATTTCTTCTTCTTTCACTTAGAACACAGTATCTGACTTTAATTCAGCACCTTGTTAGAGTCTTCCTATTTTTTTTAGGTAGCCTGCTCAGGGCATATTTTTAATATGAAAGAAGTTTTATGAAAAATGGCAATTTTCACTTATAACTGTATATAAAGGTACATCCAATAATTATCAGTTGTAACTCAAACAATGATAAATTCTCTAAGTATGAAGTGTTACTAGATTAAGGAATGCTTTTCTATGATGTTTTCCTTAGTTGATTATAATAAGCATTTTTACCTAAACTTATAAATAAGGAAACTAATACTCAGAAATAACTCAGAAAAAGTGACTTAATGGGCTCAAATGCTAGAGCACCTGCCTAGCAAGCATGAAGCCCTGAGCTCAAACCTCAGTACTGCCAAAAAGAGTGATTTATTCAAGGTCACACAGCTGACACATAAATGGCAGAACTTAGACCAAAACTCAGTTCTTTTGCTTCTTTCCAAGCTATACTACATCCATATGTTACCAACACTAAATTCCTAACTTGTGAAATGTTTCTTAAATTTTAAAGAATTCATCTTGTTTTTATTTCTACCTCTGCATTGGTATATCTTAGTTGAAACTAACAAAATATGAGTGGGCCCTCTTTTGTTCTAGTTTCTTAGAAATAAAAATAATACTGCTTATTTCCTGAAGATACCTTCAAGGGCAGAGACCACAACTGCCAACTTAAAATTTTTATAGTATTAAATAGTGCTGGTCACACACGTTTGACAAATACCTGCTGATTTCATATGAATAGAGTACATTGAAAAGGCAATAATTAGGATTATTAAAACATAGAACAGTATTAAAGCTAAGTATTTAGTGATAAGATCAGCTTGTTTCCTGTCTCCGTCTGTCATGATTCAGTAGGATGTTCAATTTTGTATGCTTCAAAAATGAACTGATACTCATGAAGTTAATGTATTCTTAGACCATTGAGCTACTATAAAGTGCCAATTTTGTATTGTTTATCATCAGTACTGGGGAGCATGATTTTATGTAATGTTGTAAATTACAGTACAGTGGATCCCAGGTTAAGAGTCACTTACTTGAACTAATACAGAAAAATGACAAATGACTACTACTATTAACCATTAATTCCCAATTTTACATATTTATATTTGCTTATGACTAGCTACTAAATGTTATCACTGCTGTCTTCCTGTTTAAGTTGTGGTGTACTGTTATAAATGAGACCAAGGAAAAAACAAACCTGTTACTGTTAAGCCTCGATCTGGTAATAGTTACCTCAAAGTTCAGCCATTTCCATGAGATTGAGGGGTGCATCACAGCCAATAGAAGAGGTATAACTAGAAAAGTCATTGGATCAGTGGCTGAATTTTCACCAATTCAGAAAAAGATGCGCAATATTTTCTTATAGTGGTTATATTACCTTAATGAAAGTTTTGCAACTTAGCCAGTTAATGGGCTAAAACTACCAAAAATGAATTTGCAGTATCTTCAGTTAAAAAATTCTATATACTGGCTACTCAAAATTAGTGTTTATTAGCCTAAGGACACAGTTTTAATTCATAAAAATAAATTAAGTTTTATTTTAATTTTTACGGCTAAAGAAAAAAGTAATTGAAAATGCTTAGAATTGTAAAAAATGTAAAGAAAAAAATCCAAATCATGATGTAACTGGAAAAAGAAATTATAGTTCTTATTTCTTAAGCCAAGATAAAAACATGTACTGTAACACTAAAATAGGATCTACAGAAAACCAAGACTTCACAGTGATCTATTGTGGGAAGGTGAGGGAATCAGTCAGCCCAGATTTCTGCATCTTGAGATACAGTGACCAGTCAATGGCTGACTATACCCATCTCTCCACTAGTTATGGCATAGTGTAGACAGTGGGTAAGAAGGCTGTCTACAGAGATTGAGGATTTCCATAAGAATTCTGCTTTCTAAAACCCAAATAAGATTCAGACTTTGGTCCAGACAGTCTGGACCAGAAGGGTGAATTCATAAGCTATTTCATAGTTATCCTATGAAATATTTTAATGGAGAAAGGGTCAAAAATATTTCTCTTTGGAAATATATGTGAATGCAACCATGAAAGATAATGGTACAATTTTTTTTTTCTTAGCAATTTAAGTGATACTTAATACAGAAGGAAAAGTACTGTTACCTTGCAGAGTAAGAAAAGACATAGTCATAAATCATAACCATATTTCTTCCCCATAAAAATAAATTTCAATCTATTTGCCTATATTATCTTTGTAGGAATTTGTAAAATGCTATACTGTCAGACTTGGGAACAGTTCCACCTCACCCTCAGAAATCATTTATTTTTATGCCATGAGGGGAAAAAAAGGAAAATAAAAAAGTATTTTAACCAAATGAAAACTGGCATTTAGTAAAAATTGTAAATAATTACCTAAAGTTCAACCTGACACCTTACCTCAATATGCACGTCAAGTTAAGATAGATGGAAGAAACTGCAAAAAGCACCCATTTTACTCCAAATCCATATTTGAAATAATTCTTTAGAAGATTAAGAAATAAAAACACACACACACACACACACACACACACACAAAGATCTACTCCAACATGCTTGCTTCTATACAACTTAATATAGTATAATCCTATTGTATTACGGCTTATTATGCAGATTTGAGTATCTTAAGTCAAATCATACTCCTAACAAACTAGGTCTAGAGAATAAAAGCATCATAAGATAAAACCTCTGTGGCAGGTTTTGGCCCTGTCCTCCAACACCAGTGGTATGAAGAAGGCCTCTGTAGTTACAAATGTATTTGGAAAAACTACAAACATGACAATTTAACCAAATTTATAACACTTTCCCCACAAGTAGGAAAAAGATTAAAGCTGTTCTCTTTGGGACCCAGATATCCTCAGGAGAAATGAAAACGCAAGAAGCCTATTTCTTCATATTTAGAAGAAGATCACAATGCTGAAGAATGGGAAATGAGGGCTCTTTTATGGCATTCTTAGACATTGGCTATGGAAGTGTTTCCCTGCAACGAGAAGAGTTTTGTTGGGTCATCTCAAAATGATGGGGGTACAGAGGGAAGGTGGGGTGTAAGGGAATCACCTGGATAACAGTATGCACCTTGGATGTTAGCAAAAGCGAAGCTAATAGCTTATAAAAAACACATGAAATATATAAAATAAAATGATTTTCATATACATATTAATTTAAAATAATTAATGCATCAAATCCCTGTTTAAGACTTTAACCTGAATATCAAATTTAAAGAGTCCAGACTAGTTACTGTTACCGTGGCTCTTCCCCACATGTAACACACACACTATCAAAAATAATTTAAAAACCTTCACATTCTTAAATCTAAATTAGTGAGATATTTCTCCAGAAATCTTCCAAATAAATAGCTTTAAAAAAGAAAGAATTTAAAAGCTGTTAACTTTTAAAAAAAATCTGTTAAATAAATTATTGATAATTCTTTACCCTACTACTGAAAACAAATCAAGACACTACCAACAACAAAATGAAATTCAAGCCCTGACAAGAGACCCTTTCCAGTTCAAGGTCTCTTTTTAAGGTTCTACCCTCCTCTGTCCTCTCCCCCACCAGGTCCAAAGGGTTATTGCTGAGTGGGTGTGGCACAGTGAAAATGCAGCATCAGGTTCATTCTGTTCTTCGGGCAGTGTTCTTACTGTACATACAAACTGCTCCAGGCAGGGGGACAGCAGAAGCTCCAGGCTCCCACACCCCAAGACTGGCCTCCAAAGGGAAGAGTGGCTGCAATAGCAGATCCATCACACAAAGAAACGTGCATGGCCATTTCTGTTCAACTTAAGGATCTTCCCAAGACGTTGTTTGGCTGTTGCCATTCCTTTTTTCGGACGTTTACCTATAAAACACCAACAATACTGTAAGTAATAATGAAAGCATCCTCATCAGACAGCACCTGGAAGACTTAAAGGGAGAGCTTTATAGTAAGTTTGCCTCTTAGGTGTTCTGACTGCACAGCCACATTTCTGGACTTGCACACCTCATCACAAGAGGGCTAAAAGGCCAGCCTCTTCCTAAACTATGCTTCAGAAACAAAATGGACTGCAACTTCCTTGACACCCAATGGACCACTGTCCCCTCTGTGCCTTGGGTCAATGTTCTTTCCTCTGCATTTATTGTTGCCTATTCTGTCACTTCCCCAAATCTGCCTGGTTAACTCCTTATCATTCTTTTTTAAGGATCAACCTCCTAGTGAGCTTCAGGAAGCCATTCCTGTTCCTCAAGGTTGGCCTGGGCCTTCTCCTTCTTTATTTCCATGGTAGATCATGCATACTGCTATCACGCTATTGTTCATATTACAGGAAGTGCAGAGACTATAGCTACACCACCATTACAGCCAACACACACAGTAAGAAATACACTTAATCTACAAATGCGTAAATGTTACCTTTTGTTGCCTGGTTACTGATAGGTGGTGGGTTTGATGCAGGTCTCTTCGTAGGGTGAAGGGGCACTGAAAAGGAAGTTTCACCAACTGGCCTTTCTGGGCTTAGACTGCCATTACTTATCTGGCACAGCCCCGAAGCTAGACTGGAGCCCTGTGCGTGCTTTCCATTCTGAAGGCCTGAGCCGCTGGTGTCCATGTAATGCCCACTTTGCACCTTTTGACTGGTTTCTGATGAGCCTTCTTTTTTCATGCATTTCTGGCTTCTATTTAGGTCCTAAAGAGGAAAGAAGTAAATGAATTTTTAGGGTTTAAGATAAGTGAAGTAATTAAGCTCTCTATGCATTAACAAAGTCGAGAGAGAGAGGAAATAAACTACTGAATTTTTATTTTCTTAACACATATTAGTGACAGATGACTACCCTTCACAATGTTCACCTCATTCTATAACACACCTAATAAGCTGGAAGACTAGCTTGCATGAGAGAAAGAGAGAGAGAATTTTAAACAACCAAAAGGTACTCTACCTTCCATTCCATGTGGAACAGAGGGAACCCAAATGGGAGCAAGGGATTCACCACTTCCTCACCATATTGTAGTTACCACACACCTCTCATGGTGTAATGTACTTTTTTAAAACTGCACTCTGCAAGGTTCATCTGTACAGTGTTGGTTTGCTAGAAAAGTCTCTACATTCAGAGCCCCAAACCTGGTTTTTCTTTTAACTACAACTCCTTGGTCTCTTAAAGATTATTGAGTAAACTTTCCGGGGAAAAAATGCTAACAAGTCTTAAAATTAACTGAGAGCATTAAATAGAAAGGCATGGAACAGACATGAAAAGAGTACACTGCAGTGTGATATTTCATGAGATTAATTTTAATTGTGTGTGTACGTGTGTGTGTGTGTGTGTGAGAGATAGAGACAGACAGACATGCTCATGACTCTGTCATGAACAAGTAAATTTCAAAAACAGGTATTAAACAAATATTTGCTTTAAATTAGTCTTATAAAACTTTTTGAGCATAAAAAACAGGTGCTATGATCTGACACACCCTACCTATGTAGATTACAGGCTAAAGAAATTTTATTTTCTCTGATGAGATCATGCTAATTATCTGCCCTTCTGCTTCTTCATTTTCATTTTCTTGTGGTATTGAGGATGGAACCCAGGGCCTTGTACATTCTAGGCAAGCGCTCTGCCACCAAGCTACAACCCCAGCCCTTCTTCATGTATTTCAAAGACAGTACAAACACAACAGCCAGAGGCAAATGATAGCTTACTTTCAATGCTGAATCCTCTAACGCTAAAAGTGGAAAACTTTATGACTAGCCCACAGTGAGGTACAACAAAATAGTATATTGAAAAAGTGGATTGGAACAATGAAGGGACGTCTTAATCAACTCTTGAATCTATTTTTCCAGTCAAGGAACTTTTACTCACAAAGTCTTGCTTTTTCTCAAAAAAAAAAAAAAAATTCTAGGGATACAGTGCTTACCTAGCACATTAGAGGCCCTGGATTTGATCCCTATTACTGCAAGACAAAACAAAACCTGGCTCTTTTTCTTTTTGTTAAAAGTGCTAAATATCTGGAAAATAGAGATGGCCAAATCCAGAAAATAAAAACCACACATAATCCTACTATTCACAGATTAACAGTGTTTAATATATGGGGTACAGAATGCTGTCATTTTTTCTGTCTACATACAGATATCATTTCTCCACCTCAACCCAGGCTCTGGAAGTTGAATGAGTTAGAGGCTCCATCCTCATCTGCTGAGGTCTTTCATTGGTATGTAAAAAAGCTTTACTCCCAAGAGACTTCTCTCTTCACTTTTTCTTAAACTGCCTACTCATGACCCCCTCCTCTCATCATCACTCCATCTAACGTTTCTTTTCACAAGAAGACTAGTGACAGTATTTCTGCCTTTGCTGATTTACTATCCTTCTTAAGTACGGTGGGTTTGGGAGTTCTAGGGGCCTCACTTTGCCATGTAAGAATGTTGGGCTTTTCCTTTGGCTGCCACTTTCCAAGATTTGCAGGAAAAGTCACATGATTTTCCTTGCTTGGTGCTGTAAGTTTTTTTTTTTTTCCATTTTTCTTTTATTATTCATATGTGCATACAAGGCTTGGTTCATTTCTCCCCCCTGCCCCCATGTAAGTTTTAATTTAAAAAAAAAATATCATCTTGGGTTAATTTTGTTTGGCATGAATATGAATATGCTGGGATCCCAAAATATATAGTTTCTTTTCTTAGAGAGTAGGCTCTTCATCTGGAGTCCATGGAGAGCCTGCGACTGCTGGAAGCACAAACCCAGAGCAAATGTAAGTGAAAGTCAAAATTTATGATGAACATTTTTCTGGAAAGAGAACCTATAACTTCCACCAAATTCTCAAAGAAATTCAGGATCTATAATTCTTCAAGAGACAATGTTAGAGACTAAAAAGAGATGCTGTATTTCTCACATGTTTTATTCCAACCAGCCAGTGGTATTAACCACTTCCTTGACTAAGTTACTCTTATCCAGATCACACTCTGTCCATGAGCCTTGCGTGTCATCACATCAGAATCCCTAAAAATGGATACCTGTTTAAATGTGCATTTAATTGTAAATTTTTTGGCTTCTTAGTTCTAGTAGTTGATAACCAGTTACAATTTTTTAAAAGAAAGTAAAAACATTTATTGACAATTTAAAACCTTCTTTTACTGTTGAATATACCTGAGGATTAAATCTGGAAGTTCTATCAAATTGTTTAATCCAGGAAGAAGTTCTCAAGTCTTGATCTTCGGTCTTGACATGGTATCCTAGAGAAAAGTTTTAATTAAATTATCTTTAAGCAAACTTCTTTTTTTGTTTGTCTGGTTTTTTTTTTTATGGTGGGACTGAGGCTGTTGAACTCAGGGTTTTGAACTTGCAAAGCAAGCGCTCTACTACTTCAGCCACACCTCCAGTCCATTTTGCTCGTTATTTTGGAGATGGGGTCTCGAGAACTGTTTTTCCAGGTTCACCTTGAACCTTGATTCCCTGATCTCGCTAGGATTATAGGTATAAGCCACCAGCACCCAGAATTAAGCAAAATTGATCTTTTCTAAAGAATAAAGTTAGCCTAACGCTTGTCAATTGAAAGGTTGAAAGGTTTTGTGTCAAATGCTGGAAGATCTATAGTCAAATCCTATGGCATGCTGTTGATGTAAAACCAAATGTAATACATTCTTTAAAAATGGCATACTTTCCATACAGCATAAAGGTAGATGTTTGCCTCAATTTTGCAATACTTCCATAAAAGCCTTTTCTCTTCACAAGGGACCAAAGATTACAAGAAGACAAAGTGGAGCAGGGGAACAACAAACCAACCCAGATTTAAATTTGAGTCCTTCCATTACCAATGCAAGCTTAGGCAAGTTACTTAACCTTTCCAAACTTCAGTTTCCTCTTGCACAATAAGCAAAGATTTTTAAGATGGCCCTGAGTTCAAATGCCAACAGCTTTGAATAATAGCTATGGAAAGTGTGGGCAAGTTAAATTAACTTTACTAAGTTTTATTTCTTTTACCTATAAAATGGGACCAATAGTACCTACTTGTAAATGATGTTTTAAGAATTGCATGAAATGGATGTCAAGCTCCTACATAGCTGACCCTGAACTACGTGGGATTGAACACAACAATTAATATGTCTTCCCTCCAGTCCTCCTCAGACTTTGTGGGAAATAAAATTTCTCCCCTAAGGCACAGAGAAAAAAATACTAGATAGCATCACTGACATGCCATTCAAGTCCACTCTCTTCCTAATGCTTTTTTCCAAGAAGAAGAAAGAATATCTTGAATCAGAAAGAAACAGTTCAAAACTTATTTTCCCTCTCATAAAAGGAAAATGGGTTGACTGTTCTCAATTTAACAGACACAAAAGCATTATTTCTACCCGGACCAACCTAATTGTTGATGAAAGGGAAATTCAGTCTTTCAAGAGGATAGCAGAATTATTCAGGAACACAATTCTCAATCCTAGGTAATTTACATTTTGAGTTCTTATGCTTTCATTTTTACATGGTAACAACTCTGTATTTTTTTTTTTTGGTCAATTTCCTTAATGCCATTTCTGACTAAAGGTGTTCAATATATAGTCATTCATGTAATCTCTAACCTGAACTCATATAGAGTAATTACATTGGGGGTCATATGAAACTTTTCAGAGACTAATAATTTATGTTTCTTACCACATTCTGCTGGTTTATCATAGCGATACAGCTGCCTAACCTCATGGTTACTGCTGTGGCAGCTGATGGGATGCTGGAGAAAGTTCTTCTCACCACCACAGTCTGTGCTTTGCATTTGCCTTTGTAAACATGTGGAATAGTGCAACCCTGCCATAGACAGCATGCCCTGAATAGCTTCTTCCTCTGTGCTTGTGGAGGTAGGACATTCCCTAAGGACCAGGCAATCCAAAAAAAAGACAATTTATTATTTTTAATGAAATTTTCAGAAAAATTTAAAACTGAAGAAATGTTTTCATGTATTTACATCACAATGTAAAGTAACTACTGCCATCAGCAAACCTACCTTTTAATTGGAATTTCACTCCTAGATGACTTCTGGCTCTTCTGAAGGAAATTCCTCATCATATCAGGGTCTTCCCTAGAGTTTGATGTTTTTTCTTGTTTCTTTTCATCACCTGAACTTTCAGATTCTTCAGTGGTAAAATTAATTTTCTGAGATAATAATTAAATGGGAAAAAAAACACATAAAAAATTGATCAAGGCTGGACAAACTAATCAAAAAAGACTATGTAGGGGAAATAAAACCTTATTTATCATAGAATTATTTTTGTGTTTCACGCAAAAATCTTTATATACTACCTGAATAAAAAACACAGAGTGGGCTTTCTTTAAGGTAAAATAAATATAACCTATGAGCAACATGAGTCACTTAAGACCAGTATAAGCACAGGATCAAGCAAAAGCTATCTATCAAGGTAAACAGCCACATGACGATGTGTAAACATAACCACTATAGGAAGACCTCATGACAGATGCGAGACAAGCTTTGGGAGAAGCTGTCATCTGCCTTCCTCCAGGTGAAGATTCATAGGTTCTCATTTTCCCATCAAATGACACACACAAGTCATAGGGTTCTGAGCATACCAGTGCAGTGCAATCAGGTCCAGAGTCTTCTGAATCAGAAATATCAGAATATTCTGATGATCTATTCCTGAGTTCTGATTTCACACTTGTAAAAAACCCTGATGAAGAAGAGAAAGGATGAGAGAAACAGAGAAAGTCATTAGAACTTATGAGCAAGGTAACAAGATGATTTCTAAAGCCTGGCCAGCTTCAAGATGCTTCTCCATCTCCCTGCCCCTATCCCACCTTTCTCACTGCTCTTATTTATCTCCATTTCTTTTTTCCCATGGTCTTTCTCCCTAATTGACCAAGAAAGACTGGAATATATACTTAAAATGCATGTGGTACTTACTGGGTTCCTTATTTTAATGGGTTGAGGACATTTCTATCCAGAAAAGAACCTTTAAAACTAAATTAACCATAAGATGCTGTTCACTTTGTTTTTGCAATAGTTCTCTTGATAGAGAACAAAAAGCTAACTCTCCCAAACCTAAAAAACATTTGCATAGATTGTGAATCCACTGGCATATAACCTGGATTTTCCACTGCCTTTCTCATCCACAAGGCACTGTACAGCAATTGTTCCGTCACTTCCCAGAGTTTCACTGACTTTGTCCTGACATGTGAACAAGGGAAGCATCAAAGTCTATCGCAGAACCAAATTTACTTGGAACTACTAGGAACTGAGAAGTTCAAAAGGGATTAAATAATATTCATTATCTGGGACACTTATTATCAAGGACTTAAATAGTCATTATTGTTTGTTAAAAGGGCATATGAAGGTCTTGAAAAATTTAGGAAATTAAGATTTTTATCCAAGGAAGATCTTAAGGAAGAGGAGGAGGAGAAGTTACTATGCTGTCTAGTAATAGTAACAATAATATCACTATTTCTACTTTATTTGGTAACCAATTAATAACCCAGGAGAGGCCTTCTTGCGAATGGAAAATCAAATAACTCCACAGTACACAAAGTCCCAATAGCTTGAGATCATTCAAACATACGTAACTGCTGGGTGCTGGTGGCTCACACCTGTAATCCTAGCTACTCAGGAGGTAGAGTTCAGGAGGATTGTGGTTCAAAGCCAGCCCAGGCAAATAGTTCCACAAGAACCTATCTTGAAAAAATTGTTCACAAAAAAGGCTGGTGGAGTGGCTCAAGGTGAAGGCCCTGAGTTCAAGCCCCAGTACCACAAAAACAAACCAACAAACATACATGCCTCCTAATTCTAAAAACCACATACATGTTAGCAAAAACTATATAGAAAAATACATTAAAATTCTGGGGAGAAGAGACCATAAAATGTATGAGCTTTTAAATGACCCTTTAAAAACTGTGACCAGACATGGGTCTGACTAACTCCCATATGCCCCTTAACTAATACTACATTTCTAGTCACTGCACATCACTTGGCATTCACATTCAGCACTTCCTTGGTAGATGAACTACTCAATCACTACAAACTTAAAAACTTTAAAATTAGCAAGTTTCTTTATCTATTGTCACATTAGTAAAGAACAGAGCTTCAAAAATGACATTATAATAACTTACTATTAAGTGTTTTTCGAGATTCTTCATTCTCTGTCCTC